CCCTCCATCATTGTCCTCCCCTTCCCTCCATCATCGGTGTCGTCCTCCCTCCGCCCTTCTCCCTTCCCGCTCCTCCCTCGCTATTGAACTCCTCCTCCATCCTCCATTCCCTCCCTCGCCATCGATCTCCTCCTCCCTCCGCCGTTCTCCCTTCCCCCTCCTTCCTCGTTATCGATCTCCTCCTCCCTCCTCCATTCCCTCTCTTGTCATCGATCTCCTCCTCCCTCCATCGCTGTCGTCCCCCTCCCTCCTTCATCATGTCGTCCTTTTTTTTTTTTTTTTTTCATATATGAAATTTTTAATAGTGCACCACTGCTCCCCTCCCTCCTTCATCATCGGCGTCGCCCTCCCTCCACACTTCTCCCTTCCCCCTCCTCCCTCGCTATCGATCTCCTCCTCCCTCGTTATCGATCTCCTCCTCCCTTTGTCGTTGTCCTCCCCTTCCCTCCATCATCGGTGTCGTCCTCCCTCCGCCCTTCTCCCTTCCCCCTCCTCCGTCGCTATTGATCTCCTCCTCGCTCCTCCATTCCCTCCCTCGTCACCCATCTCCTCCTCCCTCCGTCGTTGTCCTCCCCTTCCCTCCATGCTCGAGCGCACCATGCCCGCAAATGCGCGCGGCACGCGCACGCCCCGGCGCACTGGCGCACTGCGCATCCACGTGCCGTGCAGCGCATCGCGCATTGCGCACTGCGCATCCAAGTGCCGCGCAGCGCATCGCGCATTGCACACTGCACATCGATGCGCGCGCATCGCGCATCAATGCGCGCATCCCCGACGGGCGCACGGCGCGCTGCGCACCGCACCGCATCGATGCGCCACAAGTATGGTTTAAAGTTTAAACATTAAAAAAAAAAAAAAAAAAAAAAAAAAACTTATGCTTCTGGCTCCTTGTCCATTCTAGGGAGCATCAGTCCGGTTCCTTTTCCACCACCAACGGCGCCAAGACGTAAAGCTTAAAAAAATGTAAAAAAAAAAAAAAAAAAAAAACACTCCAACGCTTCTCCCCCATTAATTATGGTTGAGAGATCCGAGTGGGCGGCATTGAGATTGCTTCCTTCTGGAAAAATGTACCGCCCCTCAACCCTGCATAAGTTAGCCTGTTAAAAACCGCTTGTACCCACCACATTCTTAGGGCCCCTCTGACTCGAATGAATTTGGCCCCCCGCGGCAGGCCAATTCGTCCACCGCGTTAACGGCCTAAGAACGTGGAGGTACTGATGGTTTAAACCACCTTTGCCGCGAGGGAAAATAGGGGGGGGGGCTCGGGGGGGGGCCGCCGACCTTAAACGACGGCTGCCGATCAGATTTATCAATGGCAGCCATCGTCGGGCCCGGCCACCGAAGTCTTAGGAGTTTGGGAAAACTGCCACTTTTCCATATTTATCCAAACACCAGCGGAGGTACTACCGTCTTCACCCGAGTAGAATGCCCAGTCATTGTAGTTGTATTTGGCACAACTTTCGGTCCAGATGCAGCGATAATGACTGGGCGTTCTATTCGGGTGAAGACAGTGGTGGTTGAACACTACTTTGTATCCTTTTATACACTGACGGACTGCTATTGTTTGTGGCCGACTGATCTAAAACCCTAAACCATAGCCCTCTGGATTTATTCTGACTGAATCTCCTTGCCCTTCCACCCACCAATGACCACCAAATCCACCTGAGTTTGTTGGGCCTCCGCAACTACCACTTTCCTTCTTCTCAAAAGCTTCTTTTATCTTTTTTCACGTTCTTCCTGCCTGGAAGTATGTACCCTAAACCCTAACCCCTGCCTAAGTTGGCCTGTTACCTCTGCTTTGTATCCTCTTATACCCTGACCCCTTACTTTGATATTGCTTGTGGCCCAATGTTCTTAAGACGTAAAGTTTGCGTAAAGTTTGCGTAAAGTTCACGTAAAGTTCGCGTAAAGTTCACGTAAACTTCGCGTAAAGTTCGTGTAAGCCCTTAAGCCCTCTGGATTTCTGCTGATTCAATCTCCTTGCCCTTCCACCGATGACCGCCAAATGCATCTGAGTTTGTTGGCCTCCACAGTTTTTTGCCCCTTTCCCCTGTCCTAGCACCTTCTTCTCAAAGGCTGCTTTTATCCACTTTGCTGTGTCCTGGGATTGTTGCGTGTTCTCTCGTACCCATTTCCATTGAGGCGTAATATCTGTCTTTAATAAGCTCCTGACTTCTTCACTTGCCTCGTTTAGGTGTGTATCGGCTTTGCTTCATGTCTGAAGTTGCCTGCCACCTGTTTTTTCCATATTACCCACAGTCCATATCGTCGTAGGACTCGTAACTTTTGATAGCAACCTTGCTCAAACTGCGTCCACGTATTTTTCTTTTCATGCTTGACAAGGAAAGGATGAGACGTCCTTCGGGACATCCGTTACAATTGGAACGATACAGAGAAGATTAGCATGGCCCCTGCACAAGGATAACACGCATGAATCGAGAAATGGTCCAAATTAAAAAAAAAAAAAAAAGGAACAGATGAGACCCGCAGGGCTGTGAAATGTTGAACGGTTGAGGTAACGGCGGAAGCGTTAAGTTGCAAATGCAATCAGGTCTGTGTCTTTCGTCGTGCTGGGTGCCATTTCGTTGCTCTTGCCTGTCCTTATGCAGCCAAATTTGCAGGAGTCCTTTTTTTTCCCCTTTTTCTTTTTTAATCGCTGGCAATCACTGCAGCGTACTGTAAGCTCTTATAATTAGTACATACTTCAAGATTGCATCCCAGACGACCGCCGACCATTTCGCAGCTTAGCGGTAGAGGGCCGACCAGTCAACAGAGAGCCATCCACTGTTTTTTTCTGAAATCTTACTTTGGGGCTGTCCTGCGCTTGCTGAGTACAGCCCAAATCCGCTGAGAAATTTCTTGGGAGTCGGGCTATGAAACACCCGCGGACGCGTCCGCGGGGCTGAGCTCGGAGGGCGGACGTATTCATGGCCGCGTCCACGGCCTACCGGGTCCGCGGATTTTACCAGATTTTTCCTGAATTAAATAATACCCCAAAAAATATATATATATTGGGGTTATACCCACACTGATACCCTGCCTTACCTATACTATGTGTTGAAAGCCCACAAGTCTCCTCCAGCTCTTCGCGGCATTCTTGGAGTCACATCACAAAATACTTGTCCTGTCCCCCCACGCACTCGCTCTCGTCCTTCTATTCGCACCATTCATGAACGACCTCCTCACAAACCCTTGGCTAGCACAACGGCTACTTCGTCCTGTCTCAGCACTGCTTTGCAAGGCGTGATCTCTACTCTTCGTG